ACAAAATATTGGATAATCTCTGAAAAATTGAAGACTTGGGAACCAATAAATTAATGAAACGCTCACGAGTCTCCAAATGTCTAAAGTCATTTCACAAAATGACTCCGAAAAAAACGAAAATTTTTAATTCGCTACAGCATGAAACATTTAAAAGCTTTTGATCATATTCTTGCAAATATTGCTTCGTCAAAAGTTCTTTTTATTTAGACGTTTTGTACCATTTTGTCGTGTTTAAATAAAGAAAAATAAAGTATATGAAAATCACCAAGGGAAACGCAAAATAGTTTGAGTTATTGAGGTTTTTACTTACTAAGGGTTTAAGTTTAAGCTTTAAAATTATGGATTTCTAGTGACTTAGCAAACTCTTTAGCTTTTTCCTTTAGTATAAGTCCACTAACACTAATGTTTTTACATATTTATACACTGTAAACAAGTATTTTTTCTAAATTAGGCAATTCTTTTACATAGAGGACTTTCTCCCGATTTAAAGCACTTTTCACTGCTTACTGAGGTGCGATGCCCAAATTATTCGTTTAAGTTATGGAGGGTTTTTATTTTAAGTAATAATTGGTCTCCGAAGGGAAGGGAACACAACATTTATATGAATTTATAGAGGTTATTACATTATCGAGGTTTAAGTTATCAAGCTTCTACTGTATTTGAATATTCAAAATTTCAAATATTTGAAAAATCTGGATTTTTTGAAATTTTTCAATACTCAAACACCTGCTTAAATGTAAAATTGAAGTTCTGTCTCATATACTTAAAAAATTACCTTAATAAATGTTTGTACGTAAATCCTTACCCCCATTTGTTAATTGTTAATGCAATCTTTTTATACATATGAACCTTTATTAACTTCTTGATCAGAAAGTGATTAAAACCAATACTTTTAAAGCTCTAATTTTTTTAATGTTGCATGTTCAATTCATCTTAAATCAAGATATTCAAATGTTTCATTTATTGGATTAAATATCGGATTATTCAAAACAAATTATAAGCAAGTACTTGAATACTTATTAAATACGAAAAACTCCGACCCATACTAGGTACTCCTCAATAATAATATAAAGATACTTCGTGAGACATCTTTTGGCGAAAGGACAAATATCCTTTGGAAAATGCGAAAAACTGTTTCCTTACATATATAAAAGTAGCTTGTTTTGAAATTTTCTTTCAAGGAGACTGTACGAAATGATAAACATTTTGCTATTTTCAACGAAAAAAAAAACAAATCTAATTGAATTATTGTAAACTAAATACTGACTGCGTGTATTGTATTCCATTTCAACAACATTTATTATTGGCATTTGTTAGTCTTCCAACAATACAATGGCACGGAGAGTGTGGCGTATCTTACTTAGAGGAAATGTAAAAATTGCTACTCTGTATCAGGAAACTTGAAAGGCCATTAGGTAGTTAAGTCGGGAAAACTAAAAACTTTTCAATATCAAAAGAATTGTGACTGTAAACACCCTTGACACTGCGTCTGAATCTTTATTTGCACTAACTAAGTTTTAACTCCTTTTCTAAAAGAACTAGGTACCAACTAACTATTCAAATCAGTTTTATTGACTTGAAATGAGCGACATTGTAATTTTATGTTGCAAACTTTCCAATAAAACTGCATTCAATTTCTTAAAACGTACTCTCAATTCCTAATCTTCTCTATCTGCGTTATTTTAATCGTTTACACTTCCATGTCCTCCTGTCAAAACCGCTTCCATTTTATTGAAAACTGACTTGAAGCGATCGAAATGTGTTGGGCGAAAAAGATATGTATAAGGCTATAAAATGGGAAATAATTAGGAAGTGTAGGGCAGCGAAGGAACAGTGGATTGATATGAGGTATAAAGAAATAGAAGAAGAGTCTGAAGTAGGTAAAACCAATGAGGTTTATTGTAGAAAAGGCAAACACGTGGAAGGAATATTTAGGGAACCTATATGCAGGTCATGAGTTAGGAGATGTATTAGAAAAGGAAGATAGTGTGGAGATAGGTGAGTTAGGTTATCCCTAATGAGATTAAAATGCTTAAAGAATAATAAGGCGCCAGGTATAGATGGAGTACAGGTGGAACTTCTGAAACATGTAGGACAAGAGGTTAGAGATCATATGTTTAAGATTGTTAGTCACATTTACAAGACGGGAAAAGTCCCAGAGGATTATAAACGGAACAATTAGTTTAGCTTCCCATGCGTTAAAAATCTTAACTCGAATTATACAGAGGATGGAAAAAATGGATCAATATGGGTTTAGAAGATATAGAGGAACGCGGGAGGTCATTCTAACTACGGGTAACAATAGTGAAAACGATATAAAAAGTAAAGAGTGCGTACATAGGACTTGTAGATTGTAAAATATACTTTAAAATGTAGGGATGAGTTACAGATGAGGTAGAAGAGTGATACTTAGTTTGTATAAAGAGCAACAGGCAGTTATAGAGATAGGGCTGCAACGTAGAGAAGTAAATATTAGGAAGGAAGTCAGACAGGGATGCACATTGTTACCGCTTTTACTATACATCGAAGACGCGATCAACATCATTAAAGACAATTGTAGGGATAGATATAAGGGGCAAAAGATTAATACTTAGATTTGCAGATGATATAGCAGTATTAGCATCTGGCAAGTTATTAGATTACTGTTCGCAAATAGTTAAGGCTGTGGGATGTTCTAGTTTTAGGGAAATGCGAAGATTAGCTCAGTATAGGAAAGAGTGGAGGTACGTGTCTAACCAGTCTTAGGACTGACGACCTTATGATGATGATGAGGTAAAGATTAGCTAGCTCAGGATTAAAAAGAGAGAATGCAGGTGCGTGTCCCAACTAGTCTTAGGACTTACCCTATGATGATCATGACAACGACTCAATATCCTCCTTGCTAGATGCTTCTATTGAAATATATGTATCATCCATCCGTAAACCTAAGCATGCTAGTTAATCCTTTGCCGCTGTATATTTATCCCAAAAGCTATTCTGTCTTTAATAATGTTGATTAGAAAAATGTTTTTACAGAAACAACGTCTCCAGATTTTACCAACTCCACTAATTCGAACGAGTTTACCTACCCTAATCCTAGCGGTTACTCATAACAGATTAACATCAAAATACCGTTAGCAAAAACTTCAATTGTCACTTCTGAGCGATATAATTTACCTACCTAACAATAAACGTTTAAAAATGTAAATAGATACAAAATATATATTTGATATACATAGATCCCGTTTGTAAATCGTTCTTGTGTATGTAGGAACATCGTTGAAGTTACGCTGGTTTGATCTTATTGCTCGCCGGAAATCTTCATCAAGTATGCTATGTATTCTTTCCAAAACAACAGCTTTTGCTACTTGAACGGGTACTCATCCCGCCTGTATGACCAGGGCAAACAGGGACAATCACTGAACGAATGTAATTCTTTATTTTACCACACCGAGTGTCCGAAAAAACAACCTGACCGTTGATAGACGATAATTTAATTTATGTACAGGGTGTCCGATATGGTATGTCGGTTGAAGTTGCTTCCTGACGTTTCGCTAGCACGAATGGCGAGCATCTTCAAAGGTCTTTCCATCTCCGATGTTTGATATAAACCGTTACAAACAAATTCAAATATTTCATAAAACTCGTGATGATTTTGAAGACATGAGGAGTTGGGCTCATTCTGGAATGAGTTCCGCATTCAACAGCGTTTTTCATACCTGTACTTTCGCAGTTACTGTCTAACCGACGAAAAAATGTATGTCCACGAATAACATTTGACAGAAAAGTCCGATTTTGATAATTCTTTTTTTATTGGAAAGGGTATACCCCAATCAACATAAATTTCGGAAAAGAATTCCAACCCTAAAGGTAGGAAAACAGGGGATGATTGTTGATTGTTGTTCACTCACTGATTTTAATGTATGACCACCCATAACTTTTGACAGAAAAGTCTGATTTTGATCATTCTTTTTTTTTTGGAAAGGGTATACCCCAAAGTTGGTCCCACATAAATTTAGAAAAAGAATTCCAACCCTAAAGGTAGGAAAACAGCGGATGATTGTTGATTGTTGTTCACTCACTGATTGTAATGTATGACCAAGCATAATTTTTGACAGAATAGTCCGATTTTGATCATTCTTTTTTTTTGGAAAGGGTATACCCCAAACTTGGTCCCACATAAATTTAGAAAAAGAATTCCAACCCTAAGGGTAGGAAAACATGGGATGATTGTTGATTGTTGTTCACTCACTGATTGTAATGTATGACCAAGCATAATTTTTGACAGAATAGTCTGATTTTGATCAATCTTTTTTTATTGGAAATCCATAAATAATAAGCTCTTGGGGGGGGGGAATACCTCCATTTTCATCTCAGGCACTCTCCCAGAGAATAATGACTTCAAAAATTCAAAATTACGTCATTCACAGCGCTGGAACAAACGTTACAATTTTATTTTGATCTATCGTCTATATTTATAACGTTCTCTATTTGTGTAAATTTGTTTTAATTATTCTTAGACACATGAGGGGTTGGTTATTTTGACACATTATCATATTGGTACATCCTCATTTATTTCATTTCATTTAGAAGATAAAGATCAAGTTATGCGCCACCCTGTATGCGAAAGCTCACGTATGGGAAGAAAAATTAACGACCCTGATCGAGATTCATTTCTATCTACACAAATAGACAATTAAATTACGTTTGTTATTTATTTTTACGTGTCACCATAAGTCAACGATCTCATGGTTGTTAAACGCGTGCCCTTACGGAGTACAAATTGTATGCAACAACCGGTGGATATATAATGGGATAATGGCAACGAGAAAGTGGCAAGTTTTCGCGGGGTCTTCTTTCAAACAAGAAGTCTATCGCGCTATTAATCGTCCTCTCGCTGTCCACAATTTAAAATCTTCACTGACGACAGGCTAGATTTTGTTAAATACTTGCATTACTATTGCTGTTGCATAAAAAGTTGAAAGTGTACCGATCGATCCGCTTTTTTTTTTGTTTGTTGTTGTTGGTTCCTTAACATGGCTGAAATTATGGAAAAGAAGGAGAGTCCCGGAACTGGAAAATCGAAAAAACTGTTGGCCATAATTATTTTGGCTAGAAATATTTCGGAAGGTAATTTTTTCTTTTTTATAAAAAAATTGGATTTCTTAGAGCACAGTAACGAGATTTTTTAATGTTTAAAATTAAATTTAAATAAAAAAATTCACTTTAGTGGGTAATGATATTAATTGTAACTTGGCTTAGCTCTTGGTGAAACATTTTTCAAAATAATTCATGAAATAACAACACTTGGTTTTGTTTCACTATTGTAGTGTATAATGGTGAAACAAAACCAAGTGTTGTTATTTCATGAATTATTTAGTTGATAATTTAAAGATAAAAAGGATAAGTTATAAGTATAATATCAGTTAAGTTGAAGCATTTTATAAAAATAAATTTGAA